GGGAAATGCCTTCATACATTTTAGCTGTTTTCCAGATCCATCTTAGGGAGAACCTGATATTTGGGTTGCAGGACCTCTGATATTCCAAGGAGGTTCATCTTCATGTCCTAATTTCAGAGGTGCAAGGTGTCAAAAGCATGTGCAGTGTTTCTCTTGTATAACAGGAGTTACTAAAAGTAGACAGTTCTTATGATACTATGATTTTTTTTCATGTCTAGAGCAAAAGATCGTTGCTGCTTTGAGAATGTTGTGTTAGGTATCAAAACAACTCAACAGACTGCTCACCAAGATCCTCAAATAGCCTTGTAGACAACCTGTGTTGACCTTATGGGAGTGTGAATGAGGCTGTGCTCTGAATGATTTTTATCAGAACTGGCAGGTCCCAAATTGATCTCTGCTTCAGGGATGAACTAGAACTGTCATTCCTACCTCTCTCCAACCAGTTTCACTCCATTATATGGATCGGATAAGTCCCTAATCCTGTGGTTATAGGCTAGTATCTGCTTGATGCCATGTCTTGTTTCTTCCAAAAAGTGGTACAGAAAATAGGATAGTGATGTTCTTCCTGCTGTGGCCAAAGTAATTTTAGCTTTAGGACATGCCCTGTGCCATTTTATGAATATACTGGACTGCCTAAAGCTCTAGATGTGCTTTTCAGATCACTTTCCCTTCATGAACATTAAACCTCTTTATCATATAGCTTTGATGCTTGGTGGCTCTCAGGAGTAAAATATGTATGCTTCTTTGTCCTGAAGAGCCCATTCTTTGTAAGAGCTAAGGGAAGTTCATAAAACAGATGTACTTTGAAAAAACATGCAAATTTGAAACATATGAATAGGTCTTCCATGGAGACAGCTCTTCAAGCAACACTAGACTACTTTCTGGATATTTACTTGTAGAGGCTCCTGCAACATTAACGCTCTTTTGGCAACTATTTCATCCGCTCCCCATTTCAACTATTTCCTATCTTGAGGAACTTTGCTATGGTTTATTTTTACCTAACTTTTTATTACTTGAGAGGATTGGTCAGAGGTTCTTGTCCAATTAAGGATCTCATTCCACAACTGCATTTTAATTGGGTGCCCTTCCTTTATAGATCATTTGTGCTTATGGCTTCATGCTTTCCATCTTTCTATAAAGACCCACTTCTTAGTGGCCCTTCCTTTTGCTGGAAGGATGGAATAGATGCAGATCCTCCTTAATTTTGTATTTTGTTTCTGGTGTGCACTTAGATTTCAAGTTTCTATTTTGCTGTCAAAGTTTCACCTGAGTCTTTCTGATATGTAATTTTTCCCTTCAACCGTATACATCTATAGTTGAATGAGTCCTTTACACCTTAAATGTTAACTGTAATGATGTAGTTAGTATTCTCTTATGGGTTATGCTGAGATAAACCAGTGCAGATACCTGTAGGCCTTCAAAAGTCTCCAATTTTGAGAATATGTCAGTCCACAGTATGTACGTGCATATGCATAAAGCATTTTCAAAAAATGAGCTTCTTAATAAGTAAGTTTCATTTCTGTCAACTTCTCTGTTATCCTAAACCTCCCTTTCCCTCTACTTCCATGACCCTCATTCCACCACCACAATGTGTGCACACACATGACCACTATTTTTAGTAAGCCACCTCCTCATTGATGCACCTATTAAGCAAAAGCTGAAACATGTCTAGTGGGGAGTTTCGTTTGTGTTGCTTGACAAGCAAGGTGCAGCCAGACAGGACAAGTGCTGAATCCTGCCTGTCCTTGTCTTGCTGGGGGCATTAATTTGATATCCCACCTTGACTCGATCCATCATCTTTTTTAGATTGGTCAGATCTTAACTATCTTGAGACTGCTACCTTCCATCTTTGACTGAACAGGCCAACCAAAAAGTTATTAAGAGGAAGCTTCTGTAGGAAACCAGTCTAAACATCAACCTGATGATAAAGTTGGTTGTTACACTGTTGGCCAGACAGGCCCAACTTTTTCCAGCTTATTGTCCTGCTGGGTACAACTATCAGTGTTTTTCTTGGCTTATGCTGGAGTAATTATTTCAATTTAACAATTATGCCTCTGCTGCAAAATGAAAACTCTCTGTATGATCTTTTTAGAATTTTATAGGTTGTATAGTGCCGAATGGAATCAAAAGAGTAAAAATATTAATATACTAAAGTAAGCAAATACAAGTTAATTACAAAGTATATTAAAAATACTATATAGGAACATTATATAGCAGAAATAATGTTATGGGGAATAGTTTGCTGGGAACTGTTCAACAATGGGTTGGTGGGGGTTTTTTGCCTACACAGTCAAAAAAACCTTACTATTCTTTAGAAATTTTACTATACTTTTTTTTCCCTGACTCAGTTTGGATAACTAAACTGATGCCTATAAATCTGTATCACTGAATTAAATCTGCTGTATTTTGTGTAAATATACTCTGTGTTCACTGATACCATTGCTTTCTCTGACCTTCCCCCTTTCCCTTCTCCCTCTTGCGCTAGGGAAGGAAGGTTTTGGATAAATTGCATGAGCTACAGATACGTTTTACAGTCTTGAAAGGACTTACAGGTGCAGAGAGGTTAGCATCAAGATGTCAAATTGTTAATAAAGCTGCAGAAATTTTTCTTAAAACTGGAAGTTTGGATGGAGCAATATGGGTATTGAGAGGTAAGCTTGTCTTATGAAAAACTGAGTTTTGACTTAAATTTGAACAGTCCCCTTCTATAACAGATTTCAGGTAAAAGTTACAAGCTGGTCTGTGTTAGTAAATAAAGCTAATAATACTGGGACAACAAAAATAAAATGTGATCCATCTTACTGGTTAGTAGTATTCTTGATATGTATAAGAAATATTATGACTAATACCAAATTATTTTCAGAAAAGGTTTCACAGTAGCCTGCCATCAATACCACTCTACTCAAAAGCCTACCATAATAAGGGAGAGGTGCAGCTTGGAAAGTGACCCTGCCCCATGTAGATTGCCTTTGAGCCAGGTGACATTCAGTGTCAAAAAATTTTCAGGCTTGGGTCAATGCAGTGTTTCTTTACCCCTCACAGTATCCACATCTAGTAAAATAGCTTTAGAATAGTACCATATTTCTGCAATTAAATAACACATAATTACTGGCTTTTTGGAATTCTGATCTGTTGAAAAGAGAAGAAACTCAGAAGTATAAACAAGAATAGAAGGTGTTCTATAAAGTAATATTGAGGATCTAAAATTTGCTATTCAATTTTATATATGTATACATATTTATATACACACATCTATATGCCACCAACAGTCCATTTTACTACCCTGATATTTAATAAAAGGGGTTATTTACAACATAAAGGTTCAGAGAATCCATCTGAGAAGTACTGGTGATAAGGAACAAATTATTAATAACTAGAACAGCATTTTCTGTGAAATTCTGAAATTTGTTTTCTGCTACGGTTTACAGTATATTCTTAATGGCCAAAAGTCTCAGCGCCCAGCAGTGTCAGTTCATAGAAATAACACTGCACTGTTGTTTGCCGCAGAGTCAGAGTGGACCACAAATGTGCCATTGTGGCCCTGTGATAAAATGGACATCCTCAATCGACATAATCTGTTATGTATACTAGTGCACGAATACTTGAAGAGGAGTTTATACAGGCAGGCATTTGAAGTTCTGCAGAACTTGCCAGGTTTTCAAAATCATTCTGGTAAGTAAAGAAAAAGGTACTGTGTTAAGAGCTAAAAATGGAAGAGATGATTCTGTACTGTTCTTTTTGTTTGTTTCCCAGCTAAAATTTGTTGAAGAAGTAAGATGGTTTTAGACAAGCCCATTTTTTTTTCCAGAGAGCGTAGTGTCAGTTAAAATGTCTTGTATTCTGCAGCTCTTGCCGCACATGCGCACACACAAAGGCACGAACACGCACACGCACAGAGTTTATACACCTGTCCTCTTTTTCCAGTTGGCTCAGTTACACAGGGCAACAGGAAAGACCCACTAAATTTTTAAGGATCATACACAGTCTATACGATAAGATAAAATAGGGATATCATTGGGGCGATTCATTTTATCTTAACTTCGGATGAATGCATTGTTTTTTTCTATAACTGAGCTAGCTAACTTAGGCTGCTTTTACATACCATATTAAGAACTGAGTGTTCTTTTGGGCTCAATTTATCTGACAAATTTTGGATGTGTACTTCAAGATGAGATGCATAGTTACTTAGGCTCCACTGAGGAAACCTCAGCCGATTCCTGGGCATAGGTCTCAGTCCTACCGCCAGTGTGTGCTTTTAGGTGTGTTAGGAGAACTTAGTTGTAAGACCATCTACTTAGAGAATCCTAAAAGGATCTAGTCCTTTGAGGCACGAGGTGGATACAAGGCTGCTCAGTCCTGCCAGGAAGGGGACAGTTGAGAGGAAGTGGACAGTTCAGGGTAAGAGTAGAAGCAGAATTTCAAGCACCAAGGTGATTTTTATTGGTGCAAATTTTAAGTCTGAGAGATCAGGTGAAGATTTTATTTATAGGCTTGGGCAACTGAATATATTTTTATCTGATCCTGTTGTTTTTGGCAGCAAATTATTACTTGGACCTTAACACTTCTCTTTCACAACGTGAATGAGCTAACTGTATGAAAAGACTTTTGATGAATAAAGCATTACTGTAAGTTATCTCAACCTTGTTCCATTTTGCTGATAGAAGCAAGAGTCCTGACTTAGGTACTGACTGAGAAGTGATTCTTCAATTAGATTTGCATTTGACTTAATTCAGTAGTTAATATTCTTCATTTCGTTTCAGATGCTGTAGATGTTTCTCAGTACAGCTGCCTTTTTAACAAGCTGATAAATGCCTGTTTTGAGAGCAAGAACCTTGGGGTCTCATCTTCTGCAGTAGACTTCATGCTTTCAAAAAACATAGCTATTGATTTTTTTTTACTTAGAGGATTAATCACAGCTTTGGGAAGAAGTTCTTTGTGGTCTAAAGCTAGGACCTATTACAAAAGTAAGTTGCCTCTTAAACAATATCCTTCCCTTATGTTCTTTGGATAACATATGCTCATAACAACTCAGTGTGTTGGGGAGAAATGGGTAAGAGTATACTTTGTAAGAAGAAAACAGTACTTTCTGTGTCACTATCAGGAATTTATTTGTAACCAAAATGTTTTTTGGGAAATAGTGACATTTGAAAATACGAATCAGTGCATACTACCTGGCATGAAATAAATGTAATTCTGATAAAATTAATTTTTTATGTTCAATTTCAGAACTTCAAAAACGTAAACCCTGAAATGGTTAAAAAGTGCATCATCTTTGTTTAGAGCTGTGGTGGTAAAATTATTAATATTTAAGATTTGAGAGGTCTGGCTAAGAGTTTATCTTAACTAAAAGAAAATTCCTTTCAAATAAAAGCTAACAGTCTGTGATTGTTTTCAACTCCCCACTTCTGAGCTAAGATAATACTGGGTGTGCCAGTCCGACAGGGTCTACCAAGAGCCATCTCTCCATATTGGCACATTATTTACTGTTTGATTCCATCTTAGAATTGTGGTGGTTAGCAAGCTACTTAAGGAGTCCATCCCTCCCAGGATGGATACTTGGCCTTGTTAACATTGAAATGATTGGTTTTCCTCGCCTCTTTCTTTTTCTCTGAAATGCTATATAGGTTTGGGTCGCTGGGATCCCTTGGCAGAGGACAAGGGAGCAAAGGGGCAGATGCTGTTCAAATGTCCTCCCACTGTGATCATAGTTAATAAAGCTTCTGTCTGACCTGTCCTAAATTGTACTTGCGTTATTAGGCACTTGGAATCCCTGGATTTCTGACAGAGCTTTTTAATCATTGCTGATAATATTCACTGATAAAAATAACATATTACAACAGTGAATATTATGAGTGAGTACTGTTTGCTGTGTTCTCAAATCAGGCCATTTCACAGCTGAAATAGTAAAATCCATTACGAGTTTGGGTTTTTTTTTTCCCACATTCTTAGTCACATACCGAAGAAAACAGAGCTATGTTCAGTATTGGTAATCCTAATTCTTTACATTTCTGCATTTACTCTCAGGTGCTTTATCATTGGGTTGTTACCCACCACTGCAGGGAAATTTATATCACAAACTTTTGATGATTCCGTCTTACCTGTCTGAGGTTGAGATGCTGTTGGCCATTGAAATATTTCTTGTTTCAAATGCCAGTGATATTCAAAATCCAATGGCTACTAGTCAGACTCTTCAAATAATACTGAAAAGGTTTGTTGTCAGATGTGCACCATTTTGATTGTATTTATCCATGTGATCATGTAATTAATGAGAGGTCTTATTTTCCATTGGCTGGGAAAGAGAATGCTTGGTTTTCAACTCATTTTTAATCCTTGTTTCTAAACTGGTTATAGAACAGTAAATGTTTGGGGGTTTTTTTTGTTATTATTTTTACATGTGTGTAGCAGAACAGTAATTCTTCCAGAGTGATATTGGCCTGTGTTCCCTAACTGAATGTGTCTACTGCACTAAGAGCATCCCCTATTTTCAAAAACAGGACGGCTTGATATCTTGGTGTATAGTTTCTTGTGTTATGGTTAAGCAGTGGAGTAGAAGGGCACAGTCAAAATGTTACTCCTTTCAAAAAACAATTCTAACATTTCTTGGCTGTGTTTTGGAAAGTGCATGAAGCCATTTTACGTGATTCTCTTTACAGGGGGTATCTCAATATTAGATTTGTTAGATTTTTTCCCCCTTTCTGTGAGGCTTAATACCTTCAGATAAAAATGTGATTTGTTGCTTTTTCCTTTTGTCCATAAACCACCAACCACTGTCACTCGATTATACCTATAATTTATTTTTCAAGACACCATTTTCTCTGAGATTGACTGGCTCAGCATCAAAATGTGAAACTGCATAGAAAAGCTATATTTGTTAACAAGGATGAACAGGGGCATCTCAAACTTGAGTACTCTGTCTTCCTTCCCCTCCGCCCTTCCCAAGGAAGACATCTCTTAGTTTTGTTCTTTTGATAAATGAGAAAATTTTTATCTTGTTTTCATGTGTATGCTATTGTACCTCTGCTTGTTTGCTTAAAGAGTAAGTTCTGCTCTTGCAAAAATGTAGGCATGTCACTTAGGCACATCCTTATTCCAAAACGGATTACGGGCCAAAAATGAGTAATCCTTTTGGATTCAAGCATGTACATGAATTCTTGCTATATCCAGTTCATAAAATGGTTTACATTCCTTTACTGAATTTTCCAGCCCAGAGTTGAACATTTTTTCATGAAACATGTTGTGAATATTGCAGACCTACTTAGCACTGGCATTAAATCCTATTACTTTTCATTACCATAAAAAATGTTAAAAATATACTTTTTCTAACTTTTTAGTTCTTCAGAATAGTCAGCTAAAATTTATCTAGAAATTAACATAATCTCTTGTAAGTTAAGTGAACACAAGGCATTATTTTAATGTTTTTGTAATATTGTTGCCAGTATAAAGCATCAGGCAAGTGACACAGGGCCTGTATGGTACCTAATTTTGTATTGGTGAAAATTCACTTACAGATGTGAAGATCAGACAGTTCAGAATAACAGTGACTATCAAGCGGCAGTGGAGAGACTGATCCTGGCTGCTCGTGTATCTGATCCAAAGCTTTTTCTTAAGCATATGACAATGAATGTTAATATGGAAGAAGTTTACAGCTTGGAGCTTACATCTGCTCTAAAATGGCTTCAGGAGAATATGAAATGGGCTGGGAAGGTCTGGCTGTTTCAGTAGTCATTAAATACTAAAGACTTTTGGTTTTCAATGGTTAAAGCAATCATTGTTGAAAATAATACAAATTAATAAAGACAGTTCCCACTGTGTTCAGACTGTGCCTTACTGATTTACAGCAAGGCTTCAATTTCAAGTTGCGTTTTTAAATACTTATATTGATGATAATGCAGATAGTAGCACAGAAAGAGTTAATTTTTTCCCTAACTATATAGATTGTCACACTGACTTACATAGATGTTTTGTAATGGCATCATTAGATAATGAGGAAGCTGCAGCCTCAGAACCTACATTCTACTTTTTTATGGAGAAACTAGCACTGTTACTCTTCTTCCAGCAAGTCATGGTATATATGTGCATTGATTGAGTGTATCTACTGTTCTTGAGTGAGCCGTTCTCAACATTGCTTCATAGTCTGTAGAAGTAATACATGTTTCCTTTTGTCTTCCTCACGGTAACTTGTGAGGATATTGTCCCATCTGTGTGCCCCTTAGATCTTAATTTCCTTACTCCAAAAACCCAGCAAAAAGCACTGAGAATAAAATAACTTCAAAATCACTCGAGACTTGCCTGACTTAGGATAACTTCCTTCACAGAACTGAGAGAGTCTACGCAAGTTGTTCGCAGCTGAAGGTTTAGTTTTGTCTTGATAATAACTTGTATATGGCCTCACATTTCTATAAATGCATACTTCCACTGAAAAGGAAAACTTGCTTTCTACGTTGATTGTGCTCTTAGAGGGAAGTGGTTTTGCCCGTTTTTTAGTTTCTGCCAACTGCATGATGAGACGGAGGCTTCTAGCAAGCTTGTTCTAGCATTCCTGGTTCTTCAGGAATTCTTCTTTTTTCCACCTGAAAATCCTGAATCAGATTCAGAGCATGAATTCCTTAAGTCACACTTCATCTACTGATCTGCAGCCTGAGTAAGAAGAACCAAACATTTCATATCAGAAAACACTTGTGGCAAATCCATGGGACTTCTGTCAAAGTTGATACTTGCTTGAACTCCCCACTTCTGTAGTGTTAGTTCAGATCTCCAGTACCAGCCTTCACAAACATGCCAATAATACAGCACTTTTGGTCGTGCTCTCCATCCTCTGTAGAGCTTTTTGTGCTGAAAATTTCTGCTCTCTTGGGTATAGAAGTTAATTTTTTTTTTAAGCCTGTTCCATCATAAGTGAGATCAAGATGGTGGCCTAAGCCCTCAATCTTTGAAAAATCTTGCCCGCCTTTGGGGCAGCATGAGTCTCTTCCCAGTTCCAGCAACATTATTGCAGGTGTGCTTTGTGCCTCTGAATCATGAAAGCCATCAAGGCGCTGGATGGTTGTGGAGGGTTTTGGAAGGGTGTCGGTGTTTTTTTGTTTGGGGATGTTGCCACTCCAGTCTTGAGGTTTATGCTATTAGTCTGATGTCATTAATCTGATCAACAGTTGTTAGATTCCTGACCCTTTTTGATACCACTGCTCATCCCATCTGTCTGGGAGTTGCTACTGGAAGAGAGAGGATTGAATCCGATGACCGCCAAGATCACTGCCTTCCTCCTGTGCCACCTCTGCAGAAAAATGCAAGGATAGAGGCTCTTGTGTTTTCACAGGGTATCATTCTTCTGTAGGGATCTCATCTCCTTTCCTTCTAAAAAATAGTAGATTCAGTACTAACAATCAAATGGCATTTCTCTAAAAGCCCCTTACCTCAAAATTTCTCTTGAGGAACAGTTGGCACTAGTTCAAACAGACTTTGGGTTCCACCACTGGGTATTCACCAAGATGGCGCTGCCATTCGTAAGGCGATCCACCTGGTCAAATCCAGTAGCATTCTGCTGCTTTCATTTCCCAGTAGCTTAAAGACTGGATAAGAAGTGATAGGGTTTCAGGTGAGGGATCTAAACTGATGTTCTTCCAGCCACTCCAGCATTAGTGGCAAGAGCAATTTTGGAAGGTTTTAGCAAACTAAAACTTGGCAGTGAGAAACTAAGTCATTTTTGCTAATTACTTTTTGTAAGATCCTTTGTAGCTTAATCTTCCTTGGAATTAGACAGAGGCTATCTGAACCTCAGCTAAATCCCACATTTCTGTAAGCAGTACCAGATGTGACTAATACTTTGTTTGAGAGACGCAGAAGGACAAAATTCTCTTAGTAATCTGTATGGCTTCAAAGCGTGGGATGCTAGAGACAGCATTATTTTTTCCATTATCAGCAACCTTCAATTTTCGCTTAGATCATCTGCAGAAAAAAATTCCAAATGTTGCTTTATTTTTCAGACAGAGGTTAATCATTGACCTTCTAGCTTAACTTGGAACTGTGTAAAATCTGTCCCATGTTTTGGTTCCATCTCCTGAGTATCATCTTCAGCTGATAGGATGAAATCTCAGTCATGTTTCGTATTAACAAGCAAAGCAAGCTCCCCACATGGTTGCTCAGAAGTTTTGTTACAACAGGTGCCTCTGGTGTTTCTGTCAATATAGTGTTTCTCCCTATCAGCATGATAAACCAGTAGGCAATTTAAACAACTTCACTGTTAAGTCCCGTATTTCACGTTTTTGTACTGTCTGGGTCCACTTGAAATACCACACAAATCTGGTCATTTTGATGTGTATCAAAATGCCAGAAAGGTTTCTTGAGCAACATTCTCGGTACCATTTTGGTGACAGAAATTCCATGTGCTGAACAGGACAAAACTCCAATGTGGAATGGAAACGAGTCTGGAAAGATGAAAAAATGTTCCAAAGAATAAAGTTAATTACAACAGAGACAATGCAGTTTTGCAGAGCCAGCCACGCAGTAGACAATATCCATATTTTTGCTTTTCCCCAGGTATAAGTTGCTGTTTCTTAGTAGCTGAAAGAACTTCTGTGTTTGAGATTACGCAACTCGTTTGATATATTTGATTTTTCATATAGGAAATAATAAAAGGTATGCTGACCTGTTTCCAGACAAAGACAGAAAAATGTGCAAAAAAACCTTTCCTGTGCTGCGCTCAGTAGCTAGGTCTAGACAATGCTCTGCTCCTTCAGTATGCTGTTAGATGCACGAGAAATTCCCTTTGTGAAAGTCTTTCTTCAGTTTTCACTGATTACAAGGAAGGCTCTTGGGAAGATTACTTTTGTTAGGAAGGGAGAGTTTCTTGTAAGTAAAACAGAATAATGTTGTTTGGAAGACTTACCACAATTTTATTTCAAAGCATTGATAGTTTTGAGAGATTCTTAACCCACATCGGGGATGGAGGTGAGAAGCTGGAAACAGAAGCTTGATAGTTTTACGCTGTTTTATAAAGAGCAGTTGGGGGGATCATTTTGGAGGAGCTGTTAAGATGTTAATAAACGTTTTTTATTTATATGAAGTATCCAAAATATCTGTGAGTCAGTATTGTCATTAAACTATTTAATTCTGTTCAGATCCCTGTAATTAATATTCTTAGGTATGCAGGAGGATAGGCAAATGGCAAAGTAGACGTGGAGAGTTTAATATCTCATAACTACTACAAGAATCTAGAGTATGATACGCTGTATGAGGAGGTTAAGAACGTGTGAAATCAGTCAGACTACGCAGTTTTTCACCACGCCATAATGCATAATGTAGCAAATGCTCATGAATAAATTGGGCTGAAACTCCCAGCTGTGGACGTGGCCAGCTTCCAGTTCTAACTACAGACTCGAGTGGAGGCTACGGCTAGGCCTACGGGCTGTGCTCAGTTCGCCAAAGAATCCTCATGGATGTTAGCGAGAGTTTCACATGAGCAGAAATTGTAAAATGAAATGTCCCTGGTGTAGTAATCGAACTTTAAATTGCCAAAATCTTAATGCCATACTCCTCAGCTTAGTAAAATACGGCCACGTTAAGAGCAATTACTAGTTCACATTTTTGTCCTTTCACATTCTCCGGATGCATCTTCCATCTTTGCGGGTTTTTTTTTTTTTTTTTGGCAAATCCGAGGTCTACATTTTTCAGTCCTAACCCCTTCTGCGTAACTCTTTTCTAGAATGACTAGTATGATGACTAGTATAAAAAATTAACGCTGACGTTATTGGCCTCAGAGCTTCTGTGCCATTGCATGGGATGGGACTGGAGAAACCGATGCCACTTTTTGACCATCTGCAGACCGAGGACCAGAACAGAAACAAAGGAGCGAGGAGAAAATGGCTCAGTTGCCGCTTGTAGCAACTTTATGGTAATGCTTAAAATTCTCCTTCTGTTAGGGAACAAGAGGTAGTCAAAATACAAACTTCTTCAGATGTTAATTTTATCTGGTACAAAACAAGCTTTGCATTCGGAAATGCCTATGCCGCTCTTGCTGAGCCAGTGGGATGTATCCTGGGAACTGATAAGAGAATAATGAGCCCAGATAAAGCCACAGTACTACTGCCACGAAATACTGTGCTGTTACTTATAAGCAATAAGCATTGAGACCTTTAGCTAAAAAGCAGGAATTCATTCCTGTGTTCGGGGGGGGGGGCGGGTTGCTCCGGCTCTGTTGGAAAATGGGTCCCCTACGCAATGGACCCGGTATCTGGCAGTGTCACCTGCTGATTACCTCTCCCAATTTACTTTATTCCTCACTGAGCTAAAAGAAATCCCGGGTGAAATGAACAGCACGCTTTTCTGTTGAAGCAATTAAATTTATTTTCCCATCTGCATAATTATGCAACCAATTTGCTTACATAACTGATGGCTTCTATCAGGAGGCAGAAAACACGCTGCACGTTATGGAAATTATGCAAATCCCCCAGGGGTTGTGAGAGTGTTAACTTGATTTAAAGCTTCACTGAACTACGGACAGTTCCTAAACCTCACCAGTCCTCTTTTTAACCTTTTCCACCTGGAAATGCAATAGATTGTACGCAGACCACTCCAGTCCCCAACAGTTAACCTCTCTTTGTTCTGAAACCCGTCAGCAATAGGCGTCTTTGCTCTGAGGTTGCGCGTCTCTCCGTCAGCTGCTGCTTGGCACCAACTGCCTTGGAAGAGAGAGATGTATAACTGTGCGTATACATTGAGCGTTAGGA